TACAACAACTCACGTTTCCTTGAGTCCTTGAATGAAATCAAATTTCCTTCCCTGGGAATACAAATCCGATTCTGAAAATCTTGCTGTCCTTGAAGTTAATAGCTGGTGGTGATAGGGGGGTTCGTGGTTTTCCTGAAATCAGCCTCCGGTTGCAGTACGGACCGTCTGGTTGTGGTATAGGGCTTCTGGTTGTGGTAGCCGGGGGGAGGGGGGGCAGTGTGCTCAAGAAGGGTTAGCGGAGAGAGAGGGAAGGGCAGGGGGGGGTGAAAGCCTGATAGCTTGAGTGATGTGGAGACATGAGGGCTTGTTTACGGCTTGGCATGAAAGTTAAAGCATGAAGTGGTGATATGAGGACTTGATCACGGCTTGGCATTATGGTGAGTTGATGTAGGGACAAGAGGGTTTGTGTCACCGTGTGCATGTCCCGTCAGGCCGGGGTCGGCGGATTTGTGCCACCGTTACGTAGCTGTTGCCTGACATGTCTCAAGACTCAAGACTGTCAACTGCAACAGGAAGGCGTTACGCATGATGCTGATGTTTCTGTGAACAAGAGACCACTTGTGATGAAGCTATACATGCCGTTGGCATCCATTGGCATTGAACTGGCCAGAGAACTCAAAATCCACTTGGCTCGTGATTTTGAGGTCTTTCAGCTGGTGCTGGGAAGCGCTTGAGTCAAGTCCTGAGCCTCTTTGGATGAGGCCTTGTCAGTTGAGGCTTGCTGGAGGAGACCTTAGCAGAGCGAATGTGGATCGCTTAAGCTGGATCAGTTGGAAGTCTGTTCGGCATGGCTATACAGGTCTACAGCTTAGCGGCTTGTGTTTAGTTTGACTTTTCTGATTGCATCTAGGTTCACATGTCGAGTGGTTCGAGACAGACGGATCTGGTCGCAGATGCGTCTTCCGTGCTGAGGAGTGACACAGATGCACCATGCAAGCAAGATGCAAGGAAGCCTCTGGTTTCGAAACGCAGGACCCACAGCGCACCCCGTCAAAGAAGTTGGATCCGATGTGGCGATCATGGAGTGGTGTCTGGGTGGTCATTGTCCACACATGGCTGAAAGCTCCTCAGATTCCCTCCAAAACTGTGTCGGCCCAGCAAACAAGGACGAGTTCTATTGGAGCGTGTGCCAGAAACTGACCAGCAATAATCGGATCGACACAGTGAGCAGAACGTCTCATGTGGAGCCACGGGTTGCATGAACTCGACAGAGCATTTGAAGGATTCCTCGCGAATCGACGCTTTCAAGACGTTTCTGCAGCTGCATGCTCTTTGGCATCGCAAGGCAAACTTTGCAGTCTCCCCGTAATGGCATGCTGCCCCAGGCACTTACCGATGGTGGAGGAACTCATGGCCAAGCTGACAAAAGCACTTTGCACGAGTGTTTTGCAGACTCGCACAAGTGTTGCACACTCACAGAAGTGGTGTAGCCAGAGCCATGCCCAAAACACAGGTGTCAAAAGTGGTTCACTTACAGTCTGTGAGGCAGAGAAGGTGGGCATGATCTGGTTTAGACTTCGAAAGATGATGCACGTTTGCTAGGTCGCTTCTGGATGGATTTCCAGTCTTCGGTCCTGGCTCTCGCTGCCTGGGAGTGAGGCTCTTGCACGAGGACGTTCAGCTCATGCTCTACACTGCATCTCCTACTGTACTAGTGCAAAGGACCCCAGGGGAGCAAAGTTCCACTTTTAGCCGCAAGACCGCGTGCGATGCCAAGTTGTCGGCATCAAGCAGGGGATGCAAAGTGCAATGTGAAATCAGAGTCAGATGGATATGCTTTGATATGCTGAAAACGCGCAGGGTTTGATGGGATCTCCGACTGGGAGCTTGAAATCTTAGCACGCAGCGGGCTCGGTTCGTGGGCTCAGCTCGCTCCTGCATCTGTGCATGCCGGCTAGGAGCAGCATTTGTGTTAGCAAGGAGCAGTGAATGCTCAATTTCTTCGGCGAAGCGTGGCATCCTTGTTTTCTTACAGGGCAGTGTATACACGCCAGTAGGAGGGCCGCAGTACACCAGGTGGAGACGCTGCAAAGTCTTGTCGAATTGGTCGACTCCCTGCCTGACGTAGTGGTGCGTTTCTGCCCCTGGTGTTTCAGATGAGCTTACTGCATCTCAGCCTCCGTCTTTGGCCTGAGGTGAGGAGATTGCAGCCATGGCCTTCAAGGAGACATAATTATGAGTTGAGCCGTATTCGCTGGCCGAAGTAGGAGGCTTGCTGCGGTGGAGCTCTTGCCAGGCAGTGAGTATGACAAGATCATCGATGAATGCGGCTGCGAGTGGCAACTTGTTACTTTCGCTGGCGCAGTTCTCGGTCAATCTTCAAAGGGCCGAGCTGGCCAGCAGAATTTGCTGGGCATTGAGCAGGCCGAATCTCGGCAAGCCCTTATGCTGGCCTTGACTGCCATTCACGACGACTCCGTGGTTTCGCAGCTGTGCCCTGCCTCTGGTACTCGTAGCAGTTTTACTTACCACCTGCTTCAGACCTCATGCCAGCTTTCCTGTTTACGCATGACCAGTAGTTTGCAAACAGACATCGTTCTGAGAAACATGCCGAAGTGCGCTTATGCTAGCAAATCTTGCAATGCCCGATTCAAAGGCGAAACAGATGGACAGCCGAACCTTTGTACTCCGAACCTTCAGCATGCCTGACTGAACGTTGCAAGAGAGAGAGTGTGGGGCTCGCAAGAATCATGTCGGCTCTGACCTTGTGCCTTACATCCAGTAACAGCAGTTGCTGCTGTACTGCCATTTGCATAAATGAGGGGCTGTGTGGAAGAGTGCTGCATGTCACTTGTCAGGTATTTCTCATGGGAGTTCAAATATGCCGTGCAGATGACTCGGAACGTATGGATGGCTAATATGGCTACCATGTGCAAGCATACAAAGGATTGAGATGTCTTGCCACGAGGTATTTGCCGATTTCAATGCCGGTTCTTGTGCCTATCATGACTTCAGCCTGGCGCCTCTTGCAGTTCTGGTGGATGACCCAGATTCTGGTGAACTGTACTTCTTGCAACTTCTTCCACGCGTTGCACTGTTCAGGTTAACGTGCCGGAAAGCAGCTCGGGCCCTACAATTTTTTTCTGCGACGACAGCATTAAAAATAATCCTGTCCTTGCCAGGCAAAATGCTGAGCTTGTGGGCCCAGCATTCGTGTTGGATGCAGCGCGGATGTTGGGCTTGTTAATGACATCCTCCATGTGAGGCTCAATTGCTTGACCAAAAAATGAAACTTACAGCGCATTGTGTTTCACTGAGTTTGCACAGTGAGTATGATTGGCAGAGAACTTGTATACTTGCTTGCCACCATGTGATTTCGGATCAGAAGACATTCGCCATTGGTTTCAGCTGGTGCAGCTGAAGGCTGAGCAGAAGTCATTTCTTTCGTGCTCTGCTCCTCACACTGTACCTTGCAGGTTATGGAGGGCTCCTCAGATGTCCATAGTGGGACGCACGAAATAGGCATTATTCGTGGCGCCCTGAGCCGCGACCAGTCAAGAAGCTCCATGTTGCTATTTATGTTTTCAAGCTTGAGGCGCCGCTACCGGGGATTATGATCCCAAGAAACAACAATTTGCAGAAGAAGTGCTGAAGAAGGTGGCGATCCGCTGATGCTTGAGTTTTTGATACAAATTTTGGCTGGTTGCAAGGACTGGGCAAGCTTCTATGACCTCATTGCAAGCTCTGACGCCCCCTTCCTACATTCAACAGATGGACGAAGACCGCTAAGTCTCATCCTTACGCTAGTTTTGGTTCTTCGGCAGTTCACCTGCGCCCGTGAAAGGCCTGAAGGAGCTGAAGGAGTTCATCACGAGCGACCAGGCACGAAGGCAACTTATGGCAACTGCCCGCCGATCCAAAATTGAGATGTGCCAAGGTTGAGGTGCTGGGACTTGGTCGCGAGGACACAAGCTTTGGGCGTATGTTAGGCAGGACGCAATGTGTATATTCAGTTCCAGCAGGATAGACTCTGCACGGCAATCCCCAATGGTTGAGCACTGATTTGAGGGTTCCTTGTGCGTTGATGTGCATGGTGCTCGGGAGAGCGCTTGAGTTCTCGAGGCCCAGAAGCTGCGGTGTGTTTCTTCGCGTTTGCACTGAGATGTACTTTTGTTGCATCCTCAGTGTCGGTGTCCATTTGTTGGCTTGTTGATGCGCTTAGTAAGTCAAGATTGGCATAGAATAGAATGTATTGAAATCTTGAATGCAATCATTCTTCTCGAGGAGTGTTTTTCGAGCTGCGGAGCAAAAACCAACAGCTTTCCAACATGGACACCCCTGTGAAAGCTGCTAGCACGACCTTTGAAGCTGACTGCAACGCCAAACCATGCACAGGTTCCCTGTTGTGCTTTTTTTGGGCTATGAAGGAGCCAGACTATAAGCACTGTGGCCAAAGCCGAGCCGAGGCGCCTCTCAACATCGGTCTCAGCCGGGACGAGTTGTAGTCTCAGTATTTCTGAACAATCCTGAGCCTGACGGTGCACACGGTGCACGAAATCAGCATGCAAGCAGTGACAAGCAGTGCCTGTTCCAGGTTCGACTTTGAATTCACAGACTTGCCAGCCAAGGCCAGTCTCGAGACATGTCGCCTGTTACTTGCAGAGTCAAGCAGTGCCCTGTTTCTACCAGCAAAGCAGCTTCATCATTTAATCGTTGGTACTTCCGGCCAGCAATATCTCCAGCAATAAAGATCTCATTGCGGAGCTGAGATGTCGTGGACCTGCTTACACATCTGAGGCACACGCAGCCTAGTTGGCATAGACTCCCACATACAAAGGCACCCTCGCATTTTATGCCACGCGGGCAAGATACGTCGTGCAGTTCTTCAGGCTAGAGCCGGTAGCAGGCCGATGGCAAGGTTCCTAAGATTTGGAGGTTCGGTAGGACGAGACACACAGGACAGTCCAGCACAGGCGTCCTCTTGTCCAGCGTTCATTGTTGCCAGGCCCATTTTCTTACATTGCTCAACGCCTCAGCTACTGGATGCGTCTCAAGTGCAGTTACCAGTTTCAAAAAAGCTTGTCCTGAGTTGCTCAGCATCTCTTTGTTGTTTCACGTTGACTGCGGTCTCAGCGGATTTTCATTTCTGGCACATCTCTGCGCTCCTTGAAGCAGCAACACGACAATGCTGCTTGCTGGACCAACAACTCTGCCATGGGTAAGCGACTTGCTGCAGAAGACGATGAGTTCTGCCTGAGTTCGTGAATGTGAGATCCCCATGGCAGGAATGATCATGTCGTTTCTCCATAGCTTTCCCAAGATATTACTCCCTTCGAGCAATGTTGGACATAGCACAGGCGTTCAGATCAGCCAGTTCAGACTTGAACCTGTGTGCCTGCCACACGAAAACTGCGCTGCTTGCCATTTTAGTAGGACCCCAACATTCACTGGTGTCGCCTCAGATAAGCTGCCAAGAGGTTGTGATTGTTCAGAATTCTTTCTGATGTCAAGCGCAACACCCTTGTGCGAAGCTTGTGGCTTGGTGCAAGTGACTGAGTCAGCAGAAGACTCCATGCATGTGCAGACAAGGAAGTGCTGGGCTGGCTGATTTTGTTGCAGCCTGAATAGCAGCATGAACACAGAATGCAACAAACCGTACGAGAGGCGCTGGTGGTCCAGGCCAAGGACTATATCTTTGCATTGTTGTTTGCTAGCTGCGCTGCACATATGTTGTGGCTTGAAAGCTGACTTTGCATGTCCGAGCCGGAGGACGGTCTGAGTGAAGATGATCAAAAAAACACGGGCAACGCTGTAAGTGTTGCGCGCAAATGCAAGGCCTGGGTACAAGTGAAACTGAAGGCTTGTAGCTCATCTCCAAAGTTTCTACAGGTTGAAAAGCTACTGGAGCTGACACCTTCAAAGGTTGGAAGTTCTTGCTTTTCTGTAAGATGGCTCAAGTCTTGTCCTCCCTTTTGCAGTGGATGTGCAGGAAGTTGCCGGCTTGTTCCAGTTGGGCAAGCATGCAGCTGGGAAGCCCTTGAAGGTAGGAGTCTGATGCTGGAGGGCCAAAAACCTTAGTCAATTCTCCCGAAGGGCGATGCGCTTGGCAACCCTCTTGCATCTGTCAAGCGCCTGCTCCTCAGCCGTCCATCAGTGCTTTGGATCCTTGGCTCTGCAAACACAGAGCAGCTATTTCAGGTGACAACCTTGCTCTCGTACTGCATACATCGGGCACAACGAAGAAACCAAAAATTGTGCCGCTAACGTGACGAGCCTAAGCCATGATGCGATGGTTCTTGCAAGCCCACTGCCACCTCTTTGCGTCAGGCATGCCAACATCGCCAGCGGTGCGATGTGCATTGCGTCCACAGTCAGGTCCTGAGGCCTTTGGTGAAGATGCTTGGGTGCTACATTTTTTGGTGCGGACACTGTAGGAGTCCGAAACTACGATTTAGAAATCATGGCCCAGCAACCACGGCTCAGAAACCAGCCTTTCAGCATCGTATATTCAGGGGATTTTGGATGTTGGCAACCTCTGCCCAGATAAACGTTCAGACCTTACATGTAGTTGTTTTTCAAGATCCACATCCCTTGTTGCTTTTCAGCCACAAGTCTGTAGAAAGACGGAGCATGACTGGCTCAGACAAGCTTTCAGTTCGTGGGCTGATCGTCTGAATTACGATGCATGCCAGCATGAATGGATGCCGCAGCTTGAAGGATTCACGCAAAGACGGTGCGCATAGGAAGATCAATCAAGGCATGGAAACTGACTATCCCTTTGCCTGGTAATTGCACATGAAATGTCAGGACCGACACCTATCAAACCATCAGTGAAAGACGTGAAGACCGAGAGATGTCAAACGCGCCTCAAAACCCACTCAGGCCAATCAATGTCTTGGGATGAAAAGTGTTAGGCACCAAGACGGGCTATTAGAATGCAGGGTCAGAAGAAGTGAGGATCGAGACCATGGAGCTGTCTCGCATCGGGCAACTGTACATGCGCATAAGGGACAGTGTGCTTCAATTGAGGCGCACTTGCATCTGGTAAAGATCCCCATCTGACAACTACTTTAGCAGTGAAACTTGTGCTTCAAAACAATGAGGCGTCCCTCAGCAAACCTGGCTGAATCGCCATGAGCGTCGTAGGGTACGCATAGGCAGTCACCCTGTCTTCCCCCTGCATGTTTATGCTGTATGCCCACGCTTCAGGGAGGTTCATGATGGTTCATGCATGTGGATCCGGAACATCCTGTTGCACAAGCCTGATCAATGCTTGGCCGCACCATGCTACGCATTTGACATCGACAGCAAACCCGAGACGAAAATCCACTTGGCAGTTGTGTATGCCAACCCGGGTAGACGTCCCAAATGACAAGGGTGGACATTTCAGACATCCACCCTATGGTTTCGCATGATACCTGTGTATGTAATGTAAAAAAGTCATCTTATCAAGGGCACCGGCTCGGGGAATAAGCTACATGGGGTTGTCCATGCTGGTGCTTCGTGCTGCTGGCCGCGTTTTGTTTTTTGATTTCTGAGCTCTACTTTCGTCTCAGGGGTAAAATGTAGCAAAAGGAATGTCTTCGTTATGAGCTACTTCTCTTCTGCATGAATGTTCATCTTGCCAGCCTGATTTCTCCACGATGTCCAACTCGAAGGCTTCCCATTGCTTGAGGGTGATTGTTTCCAATGTTTTTCTCTCTCCCTCTCCCTCGACTGAGCATGCATGACACCGAGAGCTTCGGAAGCGTTGTCATCAGGCATTCCTGTAGTGCACATTCGAGGTAGAACTGAAGCCTGTGCGGAGCACAGCATCTGTGTGACATCTTTTGTTACACTGTTTCATTCAAGTCTCTTCCATGTTGGCATGAGCAGCTTTGCAGGAGCACATCTGCCTGAACACAATGCCGCCGCTGTCTTAGAACATTGGCATCATCCTGTTGCAGACCCGTGGCTTGACTCGTGAAACCTTCTTCACAGCATCTTGAGCTCAGGCTTTTTCACATCCACGGGCTTATTGTCAATGCCTGGTCCTGAAGTCGGTTGCAATTACCCAGTCCTGAATGAGAACTCCCAAGGTTCTGGCTTCTGCCGTCGCAGGCTCACAGGTCACAGCCCAACCTTGCATGGTCCGCATTCATGGTCATTGATGTTGGTCGTTGAAGGTCATCTGCCTGCCTGGCGTCTTCCAGGCAGAATGTCACTGCAAGGGGTTTGCTTTCAGAAAGGGACACTCCGATTCGTGCTTTGCAGGTGCAGAACTTCCACGCAGCCTTGGTGAGGCAGCCAGAGCCAAACTGGTACTCGGCAGTTTCTCAGCGGCATTGTGGCACAATCCCGTAACCTTTCCTTTGGCAGATGACGCGCGAGGTCCCAACCATGCATCTTCAAATTCTCCAATTCGCTGAGGAAGTTGCGAAGGAGAAGGCATTGTAATTCTAAAAGGTTCCTTGAAAGAGTGCAAGCGGACTTGACCTTCATGATCGGATGAGGGTAAGCCGCCAGAGAACAAGCTGCAGCTCATCAGAAACTGTGCAGCTCTCGGTTTCGCACAGCGGGCTTTGTGCATATCGCCCCCTACGCTGCTGCGCTGGAGGTTCTGCTGCCTTAGTCCCAACTGTAGCGGCTGCTATGGAGGAAGTGTTGAAGGCCGGCAAACCTGTGCCATCGCTTCTGCTTTGCATGCCTGTCAGCAGGTGTCCGTGATGCCCACATATGCAATGACAGAGACAGTTCCTAAGCCTTGCGATGGACGTCTTGGGTGACATGGCTGCTGTCGCTTCTGCTTGTTTTTTTTGAGCACTCTTCCAGGTCCATGCCCATTGCCTCCAACCCTCGATTTGGCAAGCGCAAGCTTCGCTCCGTGGGAATGAAGGCTGTGATTCGTGATTCTCCTTTTGATTTCTTTTGCAAGGATGCTCTGTTTGGCCAGGCTGGACCCAACATGGGTATCATGAATGGACATCCTGCCGCAGTCCCATTCGAGATCATACAGACTAGGCTTCATGACTTTAGCAGGAGGCTCCCGATGATCCAAGGCTTTGGTGTAGTTTTTATCGAGTTTGTTGGTTGGTTGTGCTAAAGCTTCACAGATGCTGATCACCTGTTCGTCTGCTCAGGACAGTTCGTTCCTAAAGGTAGGCGAGGAGGGCGAGGCGGAGCTCAGGAATATCGGTGGAAGTGAATGGCAGACGCAGTCATGGACACAGGTTGTTGTGAAAGGTGGTCCTGTGACAAGCGGTCACTGCCAAAGATACAGTCATGCTGCATGGAATGTGCTCTTGGGGCTTGTAGCTGAGGATACGAGTACAGGGAGCATATGGATGCGAATCCCAACATTGAAGCTTTCAGTGAAGGATGGCTCAGGATTCACAGCGTGCATTGTTTCTCACAGTTCTGCAGTTGGGCTCGGAGCATCTGAACCTTGAAGGACAGGTGACAAGGGCTGGCTGGATGCCGATGGTTACTTGTACCTGAGTGGTCGTTTCAAGGTGGACTGCTCCAAGAAAGCGTCCAGAGTTCAGAGTAAGCTGCACTGGAGGAGATCATCAACCGAGCGGGTGAGAAGATTTCTCCCTTCGAGGTCTGCTGAATGTAACACACTCTTGACGGTGTTGGAAAGTCGCATGTGCACTGCAGGTTGAAGATGCCATGCGCTCCAATGACGCGTTGGGCCCTTGGATGTGACGAGCCTGTGTGACGACCCGATTCTCCACACATCTTCTGCATTTTCTGTTGGCAATGTCAGCCAGTTGCTGTCCAATCTGCCCAAGCCCATTTGTAATGAGAAGTTCGTGAGTGTTCTTTCGGACGCATGCAGAGACATTTCGCAACACGCACGTCGAGATCTGGGGCGTGACAGTTTGTTCTTGCGGGTCTAGTTGCAATGAGGCCCTGCTTAGGCCTTCGCATTCTTCATAAATGGGTATGAGATTCCTAGAAGTTTAAGGCAGCATGATTTTCCAGTCTGCCAGGGTTACTGAGCAAGTGTATCGGGACATGTTTGCTTCCTCTGCCGTTCTGCTTTCACTCAGGTTGAAGGATTGTATTGCCTTCGCAGTCCCTCATAAATCCCTCGGAGAAGTTGTCGGCGGCTTCCACAGAACCGGTCCTCCCGCACATTCGCTCATGCTTGCCAGCAAGTGCTTGTGAGGCATTGCTGCTGTCCTAAAGGATGGCAAGTCGTTCAGAGCCAAGTTTGCCTTTCGCTTTCAAGCAACTCAAGTTTTGAGCTTCCCGGTTCGTTTTTGACAAAGAGGTTGACCATCAAAGAGCTGCGAAGCTGGTGCAACAAATGCCACTTGGCATCAGTGCAGCATAGCCAAAGGAGGCTGTATGCACTGTGTGCAGTACGCGTAATGTGAATGCCAAGTGCACGAGGTGATAAGCTGCAAGCGAAATGGATACCCGAAATGCTCGTCGTGGCCTATGGTTTCAAAGTGATTGTGTTGTCAGGTAGGAAGGTGAACACCGTTCGTGTGAACGTATCTGCTGCTTTGGAGGCAGTGCGTGTAACAGCACCTTGCTAACGTGAGGTGACAATGCCGAGCATACCCAAGGGTCCAACAGGGAAGCCTGCAAGGACGGAGCCTGTCAGCAGTTGAAATGTGATGCCGGCATCTTCGTGAAGGATAAACTTGGCCAAAAAGCTGGACTTGCAGCCGCTTGAAGGTGTGCCCAAGGAGCCGCATCCAATTACGTGAAGCATACGTGGTGGGAGCGTGACTATTGAAGGACCTGGACCATCCTGGAATCTCTGGATAGTCGCTTGAGTGGTTTTGCTGCTCTTCCACCCCCTGCTGGGTGAAAAGCCTGGTATTGGGAAATATTTGTTTAGTTAGGCCTAGATGCTGTGTGCAGCTGCTTGCAACGCATGGTCGCTCCGTCTGGGAAATCATTGAGTGGCTTGCGATGCATGGCGTTGCTCCAAACTAACATCTGCAACTCTTGCCGCCCACATAGCTCAAGATCAGCTTTTCAAGCAGCAGCTCCGTTGGGCGTTTTATATTGTTGGTTGGCATTCATTCAGAGCTGAGCAGAGTGTTCAGTGCATCAAGTAAGCTACCATCAAAAATCGTTTATCTTTGCATGGTTGATGGACAAGGTAGAGTGGTAGCTTAAGGTCCCAGGATGATGAGTCAGCCGTGCAGGCCTCTAGCAGGAACATATTCTTTTCAGGTGATGGAGTGCACCCCGGAGAATGCAAATCCTCCCCAGCTGCAACTGCAGGACTGACAGCCTTGCTCATTACAAGAGCACCATGATTTCGCATGAGAAGTGTAGGAAGTGTGGGCTAGTATGAGAGCCTCCAAAATTCGCTTCGAAGGGGAGGCCCTTCGACAGTCTCTAGAACAGCTATGCTTAGCTTCTGCAAGCTTTCTGCACTTTCAGGTGGCCGCCTGGCAGGCCATATATGCTGATGCCCGGGAGGCTTTCGTGCCTTGAAACATTCATTCAGTGGTCATGTCTGCGGACTTGTGACAAGGTGAGTGAACAAGCTGCAAAGAAGCAGGCAGCACACGAGGTACCGAAATTGGAAATGAGATCTTGAGAAGGGAGAGGAAAATCCTGGGGGGCCTGGGGCAGGCACGCCATCGGGATTTAGAAGCCGAAGGAAAGTATTTAGAAGAGCTCTTGGAGGCTGTTGCTTTGCTTCCTCTGCAAGCTTCGAGCTTCCTCAGAACAGGATGCAAGGGACGAGATGGCGCGGCTCTACTCTGTCCAGTGTGGCCCCAGGCATGCTGGTGACAATGATCGCCTGCGATGGCTAGATTCCTTTCCTTTAAGGAGTGCGTTGGAGGCAGAGCGCCTAAAAGCTGCCGAGCGTGCGCGACCCTGTGCATTGTAACAAGATTTGCAAAAGAATCGCGAACTTGAGTCCTGTTAGGTGCTAGGGTGGACCTGATGAAGATTGAGGACATGACATGACATGCCTGGAGAAATGGGCTCCAGCGATGTCTGGCATGAGGCGCAAGCAAGGCATGGCCAGCTGGAGCAGAAGTTGGTGCCCAGAGCTTCATCGTAGCCCCACGTGGCATAGCACAGCGGGTCCGAAATTCCCTGACAGGTGAGAGCGAGACGCCGCGTCGAGGATCTGCGCCGCGAGCCCATTCTGATCAATCAATTTACACGCTGCTTGACTCTGAGTTGTGTGCGAGGGCTGGAATGTGCAAGTGAGAGAAGAAGGTGTTCATGCTTGATCGCAGGGTGCTCAGTCAGCTGCGACTGTTGTGACTCTAGTATAGGATAGTATAGGCAAGGCAGCACGTTGCTAGGAGAGTTTGTGACAGGCGCTGCCAGACGCAGAAGGACATGTGCACAGTGGGGCTCAAAGGCAGGTGCAGGAAAGAGTGTGTGCACCACGCCTGCAGCAGATTGGTCCATTATCCAGCACACCGGGGTATCAACGCGGTAGTAGTCGGTGCACGGTTCATATTCCGCCGTGGTACAAACCCTTCGCGGGGGGTATGCGGGGGGTTTTCCTGAGGTGCGGTGGGAATTCCGTTCGTGCTCCAAGAGCATACGCTAACCAGTGCATCCATGCCCAAACCATTATTCCGTTCGTGTTCCAAGAGCATACGCTCACCAGAGCATCCATGCCCAAACCATAATTCTGTTTGTGTTCCAAGAGCATACGCTAACCAGTGCATCCATGCCCAAACCATTATTCCGTTCGTGTTCCAAGAGCATACGCTCACCAGAGCATCCATGCCCAAACCATAATTCCGTTTGTGTTCCAAGAGCGCACGCTAACCAGTGCATCCATGCCCAAACCATAATTTCGTTCGT